AAGATTAATGCATGTAACGCTTAATTGATGGCGAACATGCAACATATACATAAACGAAAATTGCGAACGAAAAACTACACGGCTTTCAGTTTCCAACAGAGGAACAGGTAGGTACATTCCAAATAGGCAAGTAACTGCATAACTAAGGACATGTAGAAAAAAAGGGAATTAAAATTTCGTATAAATATTTTCGAGACCCAGTAATCACGTAATTAGTATAAATTCACGATCGGTGCGGCCGATCAATTGGAATTTAAAACTTGCGCCGAAGTTTTCTTTAAAGATTCTTTATTGGCATCTACGATTTACAGACAGCGTAAGTAATTTTCCTTGAAGCGAAGAAAAATATACGTTCTTTACATAAAACGCACGCAAGTTCACTAAAGCATGTACGCATTATAAGAGGGAAAGGGCTTAAATGAAAAGATGCCATAACGATATAACAATATTCTTGACATTCGCACAGTTTCTTTCAATGTTTATCGATTCCGATCGAAATTCAAGGATTATTGACATCGCATAGAGCCTCAACATTGATCGATCCGCTATTTTCAAAGCTTATCATTGTAAACTCGCTTGATTTTCGCTATGTATGTGCCAAGTTTTCTTATAGAACTATGCGAAGACATATATGTTTACGGGAAGTAAAAAAAAAAAAAAGCATTTTTTTTTAAATGCTAAATCAATCAAGGGAGTGTCGCCATGGTCCGTGTAACATGGTGACGGTCAGAAAGAAACAGAAGCGAAGAAAGGTTATGGCATGGCGAGGTGGCAGCGGCCTAGTGTATCTGTCTGCCCAATCGGTTACTATTACGTGTTTACCGACTGAACACTTACTGTAGTTACGGCCAAAGTCAAGTCTGCCGCACTGAATACAGACTTGTCAGTGGCGTTTCTTACTTACTCGGCGCTAATCTTTACTCTTGTGAAAGTGAAAATTGAGTTTATTTTTAGCAGCTAAAAAATAATATTTCAATATATTTCCGAATAAAAGTGAAACTATTTATTATGTTCCAAAGAGTCAATAAAGCTCTGTGAACTAAGTAAGTGTTAAGATTGTTTCATAATCCTTCTCAAAGTAATCCGTAACGTTAAGCTCCTTATTTGATTTTCGTATCAATCAATTAATCGCAAAGCCAGCACATATGCAAGCGCTTCGGCACTAATCAAGTTGTGAGCAAAAAATATTTGCGGTCCTGATATATACATGTATACATTATGTAAGCCCTGATAATGATAGAAAAAAGTTTTGAGAATTAATGTGCAAAGTTAAACGAGTAAGTGCAAAGGAATATAACTGATATGAAGAGAATATGAAAAAATCAAGTACGAAAATTCCTAAAGAGTATATAGTGAAAAATTGTGAAGGAATACCGTTAAGGAATGTTATTCATGTAATCTTGGTTTGGGGATAATAATATAATTAAAAGTTCAATTTCAAAATTCCACCTCAGAGCTCAGTTATATAAACGTAACCACAGCGAGTAATTAATATCTCTTCAAAAATATTCAAATGATTTAATTATGTAATAGTTTTGAAAGCAAGCGTAAAAAATTGTGTTTAAAAAATCAAAGATCGATTGTAGACAAGGAAAGCATTTCCAGGATTCATCATCTAGTCATGCAATATAACTGGAAGCTTTATCTAAGCGATTAGTATGTGAATAATGTGAGAATAAATAAATTTTTTTTTTTTTTTTTTTCTTTACGACATTTATTTAAATTTATTATTGCAATTTAATAGATCAGAATTTAAGTATGAATGCAGGAGTTACGCTCAGTTTCGATGCACGTAATTTGTTTCGAAGATATTGATTGCGCATTTTAGTTAATTTGGAGTTTCACAGCAAATAATTAAATTTTATTCTCTTTGCATGCGCGGGAAGACGAAGGCAGAAATTGTTCGTAGCACCTGCAACATTTCTCGTAGTATTAAAACTTTTACTCATTTTGAAGAGTAAACTATTTTGACGAACTACAGATATTGAGGGCTTTTTAAGACCAATTACAATTGTTTTCATAATTTTCAGGATTTTATTATATGCTGACCGTGCTCTGAAGAGTCTGAGTCGCGATAAATGAAAAAACTAAGATATCAAAACGAGAAAGAGGAAAGAACGAAATGTGGAGATCTCAAATACGGTCTAAATGCGGACTGCATTCCGAGCTACGTCAGCTAGATGCGACGGATTGCAAGGCTATTTTCATACCCTACACTACTTGCGGTACGAGGTTGTATTAAGTTTCTGCTGAAGTATGCACCAACTGAAAAGATTTGCAATCGGCCTACCTTTTATTATACCGCTCGCTTCCGAAAGTAATTTTGATTTTAAGTTTGTCTGTCCGTCTGCCCATCTATCTGTTTTCTGTCTTGTCCTCTTTAGTTCAACCAATTGGCCACAATTTTTGACATATTTTGATTACGTTCGGTGCACTGACGTGTTTTAGACCAAGTACCCTATTGAAAATGATTGAGATCGGATCGCTTTTTCGACCACTTCTCATATAATGCTTTATTTTGCAAAGTCATCGTACGGATAACTGCATGAAGCCGAAGATGATAGGGTGGTGGTATAGGCCCACCATACGATATTTACTTATTTGTTTGAGATTTTTGTGGCATCGCGCTTATCACCCCGAAATTTGATGTACAGTCACAAGAACTATGATAAGAAAACGGATGGTTTTTCTCTTACGACAAATAACGGGTCATAATGCCAAAATGCGTCTGGACATTTAAAAACGGTTTAACCGCAACCACATGATACCTTCATATTAGTAATAATAAATTTGAATTCAAGTTCATACGTATAACTTATTTATGATATAACATTTGAACTCAATTTCGTTTAAGTACGCATGCAACTTATATTAGGAATTTCGAAGGTGCATAGCTCACACTTAGTTTGATTCTCCAGTCCAGCTTGAAAACGAGCATAATCCAGACAATAGAGAGAAAAGATTGAAAAAAAAAAAAAAAAAACTTGAAACAATGAACATTTCAAAATAGTTGTATGAATAAGTCACCAACTAAGCGGAAGCACACAATATATCAAGAACCTTTAACAACTTAGTGTAAAATTTATTCCGATCACTTGTTGACGTAGAAATTTCCAATTTGCTCCATTTCCCGTAAGTTACTTTTAAGATGGATTTTATTATAACATTTATGTGTTGAGCGCATCGGACGCCGTATAAACGCGTACAAAATGGAATCCATTTAATTGCACTCCACCAGAAATTGAGTAATCGATATCTAGTCGGGATAAGAATAATGAGCGCACTACACTTAATCGTGATCGTTTGTCTCTCGGTTTAGCGGAATCGTCGTTAAAATCTTGAAAACATACTCAGAACATTAAACTTTTCCGAGAACTAACACGATCCGTTTCAAGATAAATTGGCCATTTTTAATACCCTATAAGTAACAATCATTTTACCATGTGTTTAGCTTAGATTTTTTTTTTTTTTTTTTGTTCTTGTTATTTATCACACTCTTCGGCTCAGTTATTTGAAGTACTAATATATGTTGTGTTGTTGTGAGCTTTTGTCGTTTATGGGAACAATCCATCAATTCCAAAACATTTAATCAAATGATCTAAGTCAGTTTACCTCAGAAAAGTGGAACTTGTTTTGCTTATTTCAAGGAGTAGTGACTGAATATATTCATATATATTCATATTGAAACGCATTGTAAGAGAAAGACTTTTTCCGTATTGCGGCGAACATGTTGGAGAATAATACTATTTAAAATACATTAATTCAAATAAGGTTGTCTCGTTTAAGTACGATCGCGTACGAATTTATAACACTGCACGATTATCACGTTCATTAACGATAATCGGTCAATGAAGGATTGAGTTCATCTAGGATTTAGAATCAGAAGATCGTTGATTCATTTTGCTTCATTTAGCTGAGATCAGTTGTATCTCAGTTAGAAGATTATACAAAGATGATGACCAATTAATTAGGTATATGGATATAAATGATAAGGTGATCGGAACTTATATTACTTTAGAGCGAATACGGGATTTGAATGAATGTTTCTTTGCACGATTTTCAAATGGTTAAACTCAAAATCATATGCCGTTTTCAATTCTTAAATGAGATTTAACTTTGCCTCAAAAAGACTGTAAATTGGAATCAACAACAAATTATATAACAAACTGTACGGTACAAAGCAGCTGAAGTCACCTTTGACGTTTACACGGCATCAATTTATTTGAACGTAATTGAAATTCTGTAAGTTGAATGCCTTTAAATCGCTCGAGTTTTGAATTAAAAAAAACACTTTGAAATTCATATATCATGCAGCATACTATTTTAAAATAAAATAACATTTTTATTTATTTTTTTAAAAAAAAAAAAAAAAAAAAAAGAAAAAAAGGTAGGCATCAAAGTACTCGGCCTGAACCCCATATACTTGAGTTTTTCCTTTAAAACATTCTTAATTGGTTGAGAGTTTATAACATGGAATTTGCCCACATCCGTCAGTAAGTAGTTCTTAAGTAATTTAAAGCTGCCTCTTATTCCCATGAATGCTATAAAGTTTTCTTTTTTTTTACACTTTGTAACATAAATTTCTTAGGACTTACGTATAATAACCAAAAACTTTAAAAATTCCCCTCATATGTGTATAGAAAGATATACAATGTATATGTGTACTAGATGAAGATTAATTATATAATATTTATAATGTTAAACTTGTACGTCTCATTATAGTAGTAATATAGGATATATTAACACTTTTGTGTGTGTTTTGTAATGTTTCCGTTGCGTACATTTATGAAATGCGCATACGATATGATAAAGTTAATCTACTCTATGCCGGCAGATATGAAAAGCAATAATAGAAGTATCCGCATTAGTGAGTAATTAATGGAAAGAAAGAATAAGAAAAAGAAAAAAATAAAAAATAAAACAAAACAAAACTCTTAAAGGGGAAAAGAAAATGTTAAAAGTTTTTAAATGTAGCGATCAAACGTCACACGCACACATACCTTCTTAACGTAGTTGCGCTTTTCAAAATCAATCATGGCCGGATTATGATCCTCGATGCTTAATTGATTTGGGAAAGACACGTTAAATGTTGATTTTAACCAAGAATTTGTGGAATTATTTAAAAAGCTTTTGTGGTTTTCGTTGATGGCTAATGTTGACGATGTCGTCGATATTGTCGTTGACAATGTTGTTGTTAATGATTCTAATGTAGTCGAAGTGGCATTTAATGGCCATAAGGGAGAGTTTGTTGTTGTTGTTATTGTTGCTGTTGCTGCTGCTGCTGTTGTTGTTAGTGTCGTTGCTGTTGTTTTTTTTGTTAATGTCGATGTTAATGATGACAATGACGGCGATGATGTTGCCATTAAATTTAATGTTGTTGAATTTGTTGACGTTTCATTGTTTGTTTGAGCATTGTGTGCCGCCGCGGCTACTCTTCCAAAAACTGTAGCCAATGAATCATTTAAATGCTTTTGCAATTCACCGGTGGCCGGCACTGATATTGACTCAATGTTACCATCGATAATGGCGCCACTTAAAGGCGCCACTACCTGCTCCACCACCGTTGCCGATGCTGAAGATGAGGGCGAGGGGCCCGCGTCTCTGTTGGCATTTGTACTAAAATTTCTTATACCAATTTCAATGACAATTTTATTTGGTGCCACCGCCGCCGCTATTGACGTTTGCTGCTGCTGCTGCTGCTGCTGTTGTTGTTGTTGCTGTTGTTGTTGCGTTGATAATGGCGGCCCCGTCGGCAAATTAAAACGCTGCAAATTCTTGGGATGATTGGCGGTAATGTAATTCAGATCGCTACGCGATAAATGATGTTGTTGCAATGTTGAATACTGTTGTTCGAATAAGGCGGCTCGTGTTTGTGCCGCATTTGGACTGTTCGCCGCCGCCGAATCGCTGGCGACTTTTTCGCGCAATTTCACTATATTCGATATATTGATACTGTTGGTGAGCGTTATGCCGGTGATGAAGACCAATACGATCGTGAAAATGACACCGAGTATGACTAACGTAGGCATGCGAAAACATTTTCTACTGCACATTGTTTGTCGGAGCGCGCGCACACACAATTTGTGACAAACGATTTATTAGAGTTATTGCTGCTTTATTGTTTTGGAAATGAAAAAACCGAATACTGAATGTTTTTCACTACCAAAGTTTAGGTTTTGTCAACAATGAAAGGCACAAATTTTCACACACCGGAATTCTAATAATTTTTACTGGAATTTTTTTTTTACATTAAATATATAAACGCACACAAGCCCGCACATAAACGCAACCCAAGTATCATCTCCGTGAGCGACCCGAGCAAAAGACAATCAACATCTACTGCAATTCGCGTCTTAATCGCAACTGTGCGCATAAAATGTAAAACTCGATTTTAAACGAAATGTATTCGCAGCCTTACTGCGAGAGCGAGAGAGAATAAAAACTATGAGTGTTTTTCTCTCCTTGTCTCTTCCTGTCTCCTGTTTCACTATCTCACTCTGCTTTTTTGTTTTGCTTTTCTTTTTTTCTCGTTTTTTTTTTTTTTTTTTTTTTTTTTTTTTTTTTTGTTCTCCAATTTTAAGGTCGGCTTATGTTTACTTTAGTTAAGCCGGGCTCGTGACTAATATATGGTTTAAAAGTTTTGACGAGACGAGTCAAGTTATGGAGTTGTTTAAAGTTGAATAGGAGAGAGAAAACAGAAGGGCGGGAATAAACAAGACTAAAGGCTCCTCTATAATCTCCTCCGCACATAAGATAATAAATCACTTTCGTAAAGCTGCTCCCTTATAAGTTGACGCACATGCACAATCGCAAACTGCATAGAATAAGAGAGGTTTGTAGATTTGTTGTGTAGTAGACAATTATACGGCTTTTATGCTACCACCACCAACACTAATGTGTTGGACATCGATCTTCTTGTAGACGACATTGCCTCTCACAACAATGAAATCTTTGTTACTGCCGTGGTGGCAGCTTCGCTTTTTTATTTGGTCATCATTGTTTGTCAACATTTTTGTTACTCTGTCGCGCTTAAAATTTTTCAACTCATTTAATCTCCTCTGATATTTGTGTTATTGTAGGCTGGATTTATATTAAATTACATTTAATGTCTTCGCAGATAGATTTTATGACATTTTTTTTTTTTTTTTCTTTTTTTTTATATTCAAGAAAATGATGTTAAAATTACTTTAAATATTCCATAGTAATACATTTGGAAAGATTTTAAAGCTATTGACATTTTGAATAACGCAGCTTTTCTGAGTTCTATAAATATTGCTTTTGAGTTGAATTGCAAAAAAAAAAAAAAATTGACACATAATCACAATGTAAATATAGACAGCAAAAAAGGAAAACCAATTACAAAATATTAATCGTGTAATTATGATGACTCATAAAGAATTCGTGAGATATACAACAACATTAAGCTAGCAATGCCAATAGTAATAATAAATACAATAACAACGGAGGAGTGACACATAAAATTCCGAACATAAGTAACAGATGCTGAAAAATAAAGAAGTTTGGAAAGCCTACATATATATATATATATATATACGCATGTATCTCTCCATAGCCACCACGCATATGGTCAGAAAGATACGCAAGCAAAAAAAAAAAAATAAAAATAAAAAATAAATAAATAAATAAGTACAACATGACAAAGAGACAAGCAGACCAACTGACGTATAAGTTAGAGACTTAAAAACCAGAAAAATTAAATAAACAAACCAGAAAGCATGACATGTCGACTATATGAACATGAAATTTTATTGTTAAATTAAACAAGACATACAACACAAGAAATGCCATGTTATTGTGGCAGCAACATAATGCGAGAGCCAAAGATTGAGGAAGTGACAGAGCGAAAGAGCGCAAAAAGAGAAAGAAGTGGAAGGTATGCAAACAATGTCGTCAACGTTCAATGAGAAGTTGTTGATTAAAACGCCGAAAAGCAATTAATTCTTCAACATTCTCATCGATATACAATTGGGCTTATCATTCCGATTATAGCATCCGAAAATATACATTTTTATTTTTTTTTATTTTTTATATATATATATACAAAAAAAATATGTATATAAACAGTATTTTAGTCAAAGACAGAGGCGTGCAGAAAGAGGCATAGTCTGCGCGCTGTAGCAATCTGGGAAGTGCATTGCCAGTCGAGCATTCACTATAGCTACAGTCATAGGTCAAGTGTAATAAAAAAAAAAAAGCTATACCGAACTGAATTGAATCCAGATTCGAACCTAGACATGCCGACTTGATGATCAGACTTCTCATTTACTTAACTTGATTAAGAAACATTATTGTTAGAGATTATAACGGGATTTATCTGTGTCCATCTATCTTCCTGTCAATGAAATTTTACTCAGAAAGCTTGTATCTTTAAAAATTATGCAATAATTTATCATTTATAAAGCACACGCCTATTTAAAAGTCGTTGCTAGGACGACCTAAGAGTTTAGCGTAAATTAGCTTTTCTGCACATAACCACACTTCTTCATTTAATCAAATGCTTACTAGCTCCCTAAGGTCGGGATCTACATTACCCCGCCAATTAAGATTCGACCCACGCACCAGTGCCAAGTGTATTTGCTTAAGTAATTAAAAGTTCACTGCGAGCATATGTGGGAAGTTCGTTTTTGCATAAAACATTCACAAAGAGCACAAATCACTTATGTGCAAAGATCATCAACTTTGACAGCTGGACAGCGGGCAAAGAGCTTGATTTAGAACTCGACATAGAGCATACTGAAATTACAGAAATTTTGACAACGTATAAGCACAAAAATTCACCAAAATATTCTGTTTTGATAGCAATTTTTTAAAGTTGTACGTAAATCATCCCTTGAAATATTTAAAATTTTCCGCTTTAGCGATTCAGAGTGCACGCGAATGTCAAGTAGATATTTATGTGTTTAACAGAAGGCTTAGATTTAAAAAAATTTCAGTTTTTAACAAATTTCTGAAGAGCTAATATAAGAACGCCTACGATAATATTTCATAATAATATATATATATATATATATAGAAGAATTGTTGTTGTTCTTCTCATTGCATTTATGTTTTTTGTACTCTTCAAGTTACTTAAACTTTTTTTTTATTAAGCTATTATGGGTTTAAAAATGCAATTGCTTAACACAAGGGTTTAGTATAACCGATTAAGATAAATCGAATTTCTAGTGTTTTCAAAAGCGCTAAACTAACCTTACTTTCTTTGAGAGTAAATCGTTTCCTTTGCGCGATATGTGAGAAATCGAAAAGGCTAAACAAACAAATTAATCTTCTGGAGTAAAATGAAAATAAAAGATCGGAGAAAATGAGAGAGAGAGAGAGGGAGAGAGAGAGATTTAAGCATAACATTTATCAACAAGAACAGCAACAATAATTAAGTCTAAACAGAACTAAACCCATACAAAGATGTGTATTATGGCAAATAAAGTTAATGCGGCTAAAAAGGGTAAAAAAGCACAACAAACAAGAAAGAAAAAATTCAAAATAACAGCAGCAATAATTACTGAAGTGTGAATGACAACGTGACACTCAATGGCTTAAAAAAAATTAATAAGTAGGAAGTACTGATTTAATAATTTAAAAAAAAAAAAAAAAACATTGCGCGGTTTTATAGCTCAGCAAAAAATATGGAAAATCCAGCGGAAATAAGTGTAAATCAAACAAAATTATTGCATTTATTATTAGATAGATTAAATAAATTACTTTCACAATCAATATATAATAATATAATAGAAAAATATCGACAAAACCAGAAACCAGAAATTTCATTCGGCCTAAGACGAATTCTCTTCGTCTACTTCCCGCTTAAAGAAAATTAAAGCTATATATTAAACTTTAATGAATAAATTTTGCTAAATAATTTTATATTAAAATAAAATTTCAATGTAACGTCCTATGGTTACGTATCGTATGATATTCCCAATGTACATATATATAATATATAATCATTCAGGGCATATAGCCTATCAGCGTAATACGCGGAAAATCAGAAAGAAGAGAGAAAAGAGAAAAAGCTAGAAAGTTGGGCGCAGCTAATCGATAAGTTTTACACCTTTACCGACTGAGAACTCACTATAGTTACGACCCAAGTTCATTCTACTGCACTTGGGATATGAACCAGCGAATACTGACTTAGTAGTCGCGATTTATAGCTACTCGGCTATTCGTGCGGCTATTGACCCAATTATTCGATAAGTTAACATATTTTATCAATATAATTATAAAAATGAGGGCCTTCTTCTCGTACTTTTTTATTATTGGGCGAAAATATAAAAAAAAAAAGTGACACAGTAGAGCGGCGAGTGCCATCACTAACCTGTCAGCGAATTAACGCGACACGTTGTTTACTCTTTGAACATCTTCCTCTTATTGACATGGCAGTGGTTCGAAGGATGGGAGTGCATATACGAGGTGTTCTCAAGGCCGCTTATCCGCTACTAGAAGTATTGTGTAGACATATCCCTTTGTCTAAGCTTTCCATTAAATATTTGCCTCATAAATGTATGAGTGCGGATAACTTCTTCGAAATAAAGAAATAGAGCTCCTACTTGTTCCACTGGTTTCCTTAAGATTCATTTCTGCTATACTCATGAGCAAATTCACGATCATATGGAGAAGAGATAAACTGAGGCCTATTAGGACGAAGTACGGCTGCAAAATGTAAGAGAACTTATTCTCGAATCCGAGATATAAGCTATCCTCGATGAGTAGCGCTATGCAAAGGTTGTTCGGGACATTTTGCGATTATTTTTATATTCAGGTATAGAATTACAGTGCAATCGACGGTTTGATCCATAGGTATAGAGAAATATTAGGTACACACTGCCGTCAATAACGTCTTTTCGATTTGGAACTCAAGGGTTAGACGCTATTGCAGTTGCATAAGGATAGTTGGATTTGTCGAAAAATAATAAATTTTATTAGACAATCTTCATTTCTTCGATTCTCGGGATGATAGCAGCAACCTAAACCAAAGGGTGTTCTAACGAACACCTCAGTCTGTCCTGATTGAATGCAACTATCAAGAAGTAAGGAAATTATTTTCGTCTGTGGTCGAATATTCTGCACTCTCCGCCTTTATCATAAAACAGGATCTATGAGTCGTGAGCAAAATACTAAATCTTACGCTTTTTGAAAACGTGGCGGCTCTTAGTTGATTTTACATTGTCGACGCGCATTTTGAGTTTACCGTTTTGACAAAATGAAAGCTATACCCACCATGCCGCGGTGACGTATATAACAAAAGCTAACTGCTAGGCTAGCTTAACCTCGCCCTTTAGACCTTTAGAATATGATATTTGCAGACAATCCTCCTATAACGCGGTCTGTTTACAACGCGGTTTCCATGTAATACCATATAGCGTTTCTATTAAATCTGAGTTTCTGGTAGTACGGCATTAAATGGAGGTTAACTGTATTTATATATTATATATATATTCCAGATAATTGCGATTTACAGCATATATACATATGTATATGCCTGATGGATGGTATATATTAGTTTTAGTGCTTTCTCTAGAAGATAGCGTAGATCGTACGAGCGTTTTCTAAATATTGATTTCCACCTGTGGAAACAGTATCTTTCAGCTTTACCTATACAGTATAAGTTGTTCTGCATAACTGTTCACAACACTTCTTTCGTGGATGGGAAGGAAAAAATGATTTATTTTCCTTTTGCTCTCTATCTCTATTTTGGGGTAGCATAAATTCGATGGCAAAACGTGTAAATTTCGATCATAAGATGGGTATCGTTGCGTTCATTTCATCATAACAAAAACTTTAATTATTTGTTAATTTGGGTAAAATGCAAACAATTTTTAACACGTGCGAATAAATATTTATCGTGATTTATAATTATTTTTATAGAATTTTTTTTTTTATTTTCTCATTAACGACAGTTAGTTACAACAATAATAAAATTTTTCAACATATCATGTCTATAATTTGCTTTTCATAAAAAATATCTAGTTGTTTTTGTTATTGGAATTTGTACGACACGAACGAAAGCAATTGAGAATATGTTATACACACATTAAAAATATAATAAAAACTAATGTCCATCACAGGCATGACTATTAGATCTGTCAAATGTTTATAACGCATAGAGCTAGCTACCTAATCATATTCGTCTGTCGATTTTTTTTTTTGTCTGTCCGTTAAAATAAAAAAAAGATGGAACTTGGCGGCTTAGGTATTTTTATTACAGTCTCGCCAGTTTATGCTGAAGAATCATTAATGACATCCTGCCGAGGTTTCGC